TGTTTAGTTATACTGAATGGATCCGTGTACTGTAGTAGATATATGCAGTCAGCAGGCGATTGGTTTAGGTTTTTTTTGGCATCTCCATGTGGTTCTGTTCGGTATGGCAACTTGACTTCTCTAAAATGTAATAAAGCTCTTTGCTGTTGTACTGTACACATACTATAAAATTCTGATGTTTTTTTTCTTTCATATGTGCTTATATGGGCTCCTTATATCATTTGCTTCTTTGGTGTCCTTTTGGAGTTTCTAAGTGTCCTTTTTTGGAACGACATCTAAATTTATCTTGAAAAAAGCTTGCAGAAAATATAGATTTTTGAGAATCACCCTTCAATCTTTTGGTTTACTTTGCTGGATATAGCAAATGATGACAAAATAAACATTTGAACCCAGATAAATGGCCTATGCTTAATTTCATGAAGTGTGCGATTAATTGTGATTAATCACAGAAAAAGGGTGTGATTAATTCGATTTAAAAATTGTATCGATTGACAGCCCTAGTCATAATCATGATTTATCTCATAGTTATGACTTAGTATCTAAATTCTGACTTAGTATTATAATTGGCTTTTCATGTCATAATAATGACTTTTAACTCGATGACTAGGTATCTCATAATTTTGACTTATGATAATGACTTTTCAAGCCACAATAATGAATTTATCTCATAATGATGACTTAGTATCTCATCATTTTGACTTAATATTATAATTATGCCTTTTTATGTCATAATAATGACTTTTATCTCATCTTAGTACCTCATACCTCATTTTATCTCATGTGACTTTGTATCTGTAAGTAAATAAGCACAATTACTAGAATAGTAACTTTTAAGACAATCCCATTTACTTTTTTCCTCACTTTTTGGCAAATTAAACTGATCCAATAGCACAAATATGGTCAAAAACAGCATGTTGATCTCATTTTTTTAAGGAACCAGTTTAAGAAGAACCAGTTTTCTCCTGTGCATTTTATCAAAAATGACACTCGGATACGACCTGAAGTTCTTAGTTATGATAAATTGTATGTGATTTTCTTCATTTCCAGACTCCTCATCCTCTGCACTTACTCATCTTTCTAATACATTATGCAATTTGCCCAATGCAATGTTCTTCTGTCAGAAGATGATGAGGGTTCATGAAGAATGTTTTCTGTAATTAGGTCAGTTCGATATAGGTTTAAAACAGCACTCACACAAAGGGCTTCGAGGATAACAGATATCGATTTTCTGCTAAACAAAAACGGGAGAGAAGTTGTTACGCAAGGCTCGATTCTCGGCCATCTTTCGTTGATTGTTTGGGGTGCTGCGAGAAGATGAGACACAGTTTTTCTCTTTCATCGCTAGCATGCGTCATGCTGCTATCTCCATGAGCTTTGTCTGACCTTCTGAAGGACTTTTCAGTGCTCAAGCGTTTGATTATGCTGACGTTGAATACGCTTTGTGTGGTGTTAATGAATCCATGTAAAAGGGAGATTTGTATATGCGAGAGAACCTCGTTCTCATAACCTACTTCCAGGAGTGTTGTGTGTGTTGTGCTCTAATTTGTTTATAGGTTTGTAACTGCAGAGTTAGATTGTAGGCTGCTGCTCAGCGCAGACTTATGACTCACATAGTGCACATTGATTTGTCTTAAATGGTTCAAGTCATGTTCATATGGAAGCCCATTTCAAGTAAGAACAAATAATCAAAATTATAACATAGTCAAAATTATGAGATACCAAGTAAAAATTTTTATATGCTAAGTCATACTTATGACAAAATTAAAATTAAGAGATACTAAGTCATAATTATAACATGAAAGTCAAAAATGTAAAATTATGTCATCATTATGATTATGAAAAAGTCAATATTATGAGGTACTTAGCCATTATGCCATAAAAAGCCAAATTATGATATGCTAAGCCATAATTATAACAGTCAAAATTATGGGATACTAAGTCATTATGAGATGCTAAGCCATAATTAAAACAAAAAGTCAATGCGTCATCATTATGACTAATCTCATAATTTCAATCTTTTATCAAATTATATAATGTTACGTTATTTTGACTTCATAAGTTTTAATTCTTGTGTAAAAAGTCAATTTTGAGAGTCATTATTATTTACTAAGTCATAACTGAGATAAAAGATTAAAATTGAGATGCTAGGTGAGGACAAAAAGGTCCTAATTATTCTATAAAAAGTCATAATGTCATATCATAATGACAAAGTGATAAATTGGGAGTTACTATTTTTTACTTTTTATTTAAAAGAGCTGATTGAAATATTATCTCTGGCATCAGCTGGTCTTTGAAAGACACGTTTTGTAGGACCCAGGAAAACATTTGCAATTTTTATCACACATACAACTGAGGAATATTTTCTAGAGTTGTCCAGTTGCACAGAATTGAACCTTTTTATGAGAATTTTATTAAATGTTTGAATATGATCTGTATCTGCCATGAAATGCCTTTAGAAGCTGATATGGGAATAAACTCAAATGCTGACAAATCTAACAGAAATAAAGCTGAAAACTATTTTTGTTATATTTTTTTCTGGTAATTTGGCACATGATGTGAAATGTGAACTCATTTGCTTTAAAATGACTCTGAATTCATGTCATCCTGACCATGAATCTTATGACTGTGAATCACTTCTGTAAAGAGCTGTTCTTATTAAAATGCTCTTTCTCTCTCTCAGTGGACCAGGCCGACCCGTACGCTCACATCGTTGCTCTTCACTTCGATCAGATGCTGCAGAGGTTTGGGTCGCCCATCATCATCCTCAACCTCGTCAAGGTGAGATCCAGTATTTCCCCTTCCAGAATCTCCACATCCTCCATTTCACTCCAAAATCAGGAGGAAATTTTACTTTGCGTTAAGAGAAATCACCAAAATGTCAATATTGTAGCACTGTAATATTGATTGTAAAACATGTTAGTGATCAGTTCTATTTTTTATTCCTTTTATAAGGACAAACTTTGAAAAGCATGTTTTGTACGATGGACTCAAAAAAAGTACAATTTTTAACACGCATTCAACTAAAGAATTTTAATAGTTATAAATATTGCATAAAAAGTCAAAATTATGAGATACAAAGCCATAATTATGACTTAAGTTTACATTTTGTGATACTAAGTCATAATTATGATAAAAAAGTCTGTTATGAGATGCTAAGTCATAATTATGACAAAGTAAAAATGATGAGATACTGAGTCATTATGACATAAATAGTTAAAATTATGAGATACAAAGCCATAATTATGACATGAACGTTTACATTTTGTGATACTAAGTCATAATTATGATAAAAAGTCTAAGTTATGAGATGCCAAGTCATAATTATGACAAAGTAAAAATTATGAGATACTGAGTCATTATGACATAAATAGTTCAAATTATGAGATACAAAGCCATAATTATGACATAAGTTTATATTTTGTGATACTAAGTCATAATTATGATAAAATGCGTCTCGGTTACGTATGTAACCCTCGTTCCCTGAAGGAGGGAACGGAGACGTCACGTCGGATGACCGACGAATTGGGATCTCGCTTAGAGGGACCAATCTACTTCGAGTGTAAACTAAACGAGCCAATGCACATTGGCATGCGATTATTGCATCCAGCTGCTGCTGATCACAGCATGAGTATAACGGTCATCCGACGTGACGTCGAGAGTGACCGACTGAAAGGGAATCTAAGTTATGAGATGCTGAGTCATAATTATGACAAAGTAAAAAATTATTAGATGCTGAGTCATTATGACATAAATAGTTAAAATTATGAGATACAAAGCCATAATTATGACATGAACGTTTACATTTTGTGATACTAAGTCATAATTATGATAAAAAGTCTAAGTTATGAGATGCTAAGTCATAATTATGACAGTAAAAATTATGAGATGCTGAGTCATTGACATAAATAGTTAAAATTATGAGATACAAAGCCATAATTATGACATGAAAGTTTACATTTTGTGATACTAACTCATAATTATGATAAAAAGTCTAAGTTATGAGATGCTAAGTCATAATTATGACAAAGTAAAAAATGAGATACTGAGTCATGACATAAATAGTCAAAATTATGAGATACTAAGTCATAATTATGAGATGTTAAGCCATAATTATAAACAAATGTCAAAATTACGAGGAACTCAAGAAAACATTTTTATCAATTTTAATTGTAAGATACGAGTTATGTTGTACAGAATTGTCTGAACTTTTATAAGCTGAATTTCATTGAATGTTTGATTATAATCTGCAATGAAATAGCCTGCAATGAAATGCCTGAAATGGCAATAGACTCAAATAAAAGCAAACAAAATATTTGCATAAAGCAAATAAGGCTTATTTGTTTTTTTTTCTTTTTTGCATTATTTCATTATTAATATTAATTACAATTATCACTTCATCATATCACCTTGAATTATTTCACATTAAATATTTTGTTGGACTGTCACGTTGTGTTGCGAACACCATTTTTAGCTCCTTTTTATGCTTCTTTTCATGTGCATTAAATTTTAAAAGTTTGGGGTTTGGTATGTTTTTTACATTTTTTAAGAGTCTTTTTTAGACTGCATTTATTTAATCAAAAATAGTTAAATTGTAAAATATTAAAATTTAAATGATCTGTTTTCTATGTGAATATCTGTTAAAATGTAACTTATTGCTGTGATCAAAGCTGAATTTTCTTCAGTGTCACAGGATCCTTCAGAAATCATTCTAATATGCTGATTTACTGCTGATTATTATTAGTTTTTGCAGAAACCGTGATACACTTTAATTTTCAGGATTCTTAAATGAATATAAAGTTCAAAAGAACAATTTGAAATAGAAATCTTTTGTAACATTATAAATGTATTGACTGGCACTTTTGATCAAAATGATTCTTCCTTGCTAAATAAAAGTATTAATTTCTTTCACAAAATGCTAATGCATGCACTCTATGTGCTTCACGTGAACACTTTTAGTATCTAATGCACTTGCTATAAATACAACAGACTGCACACATGAAGAAACGCACATGCACTCTTCACTGATGTTTTTGAGTGAAAGCTACTGTCCAGATTTCCCATCTCTCACATTGGCTGTCATGAGATACGACAGAACAAAGACCCAAATCACAGTTTGAGCCAAAAACACACACACACACACACACACACACACACGAGCCATGTGATGTCCGTGTGAACGCCAGGTGCCAAAAAGGGACAAAATTTAACACAAACTGTAGCCTGACAGGTTGAAAACACATGTGCATGTGTGTTTGTGTCTTTGTTTCAGTGTGTGATTCACCGTATATTTTCCGTCCAGATAAAAGCGTGTGACAAAAGAGCCTTAATGACCCAAATGAGGTGCATTACATGCCAAGAATGCGGTCTAATTAACTCCACATGCTCGTTTAGCTCGCCGGACCATGCAGTCGCAACACGTGTGCGGTTTGCGTGTGAAGTGCATGTGTGTTTGTGAGCGCACTGACCTCCAGCATAAACTCTCTGTGTGTGTGTGTTTGTCAGTGGCCTCCAGTGGAGTGTGTGTGTGTGTGTGTGTGTGTGGGAGGCAGACGGCATTGTGGGCCGCAGGAGGACTCGGACGGCCGCAGAATGATTTCTGTGAACGCTGGAGTCGTTCAGCAGCACGTGCAAATGTGACCCAAGGATTGAGCGTGTAAAGCACACATAGATCACTTCTGCCTGCTGGCGTGTGCGACGCACAGATAATGTCTTACTAGTGTTCATCGTGGATTAGTCATGGCTCCCTATAGAGGAGCAGGAGGACGTGGGTTTGAGTCATCGTCCACAACATGTCTACACAATACAGCGTTTCTTATGCATTCTAATTCATTATTGAATTATTGGTATAGAAATGTGATTTTGAAAATCTAGCATCCTGGCAAATCTTTGATGAACATTTGATGCTGCAATGTTTTTTTTTTACAATATCTGAGTACAAAAGCAGTATTTATTAATTCCGATTCATTATTTAATTCAGCATTTAAAAAAGGAAGTAAAAGTTGTTTCTCCATGATAAAATGCATATGATTTATGCATTTAAACATATTACTAGTGTAAAAATTTGCTTATGAAAATGTAGTGCCCTGGCAAACCTATGATGAACGTTGCTGCAACATTTTGCAAAATGTTTTTTTTAAAGTAATATCTGATGTTCTTCAAAGTAAAAATGCAGTATTTATTAATTCTGATACATTATTTAATTTAGCATTTTAGAAAAGAGAGAAAATGATTGTCAAAGTTGTGTTTTTATGAAACAATGCACATGATTTATGCATTTAAAATGCATTGTTGGGAGGAAATAACTCTTAACGTTGTTTCGTTTTCATGCAATCTCTGATGTCCTCCAAAGTAAAAAAAAATGCAGTGTTTATTAATTCTGACTCATTTAATTAAAAATTTTAAAATAAGAGAGCAAATGATTATCAAAGTTGCATTTATTTGATAAAAAATACAGTAAAAACAGTAATATTTTCTTATTACATTTTTAAAAAAGGGACAAAATGATTCTCAAATGTTGTTTGATGATGAAATGCATCTAATTTTCGCATGTAAAACGTATTAATTGTTATTCATTCTGGTTCAATTTAGCGGTAGGCCTATATAAAAGGGAATAAAATATTCTTAAAATTGTGTTCCTATGATAAAATGCATTCAAACTTATTATTTTTTATAGAAATATTCTTTTGTTTGGATAGAAATGTGCTTTGTTGTATTGTTTGCCAAACTTTACCAACATAGTTTTTCTAGAATGCTGTATTTTCCACACACACACACACACACACACACACACGCGCGCGCGCACACACACACACACAAATTGATGTAAGGTTTACTTTGAAACAATTTTCATTCAAAAATTGCTAGTAATTACAAAGAATCGTCACACTGAATTAAATGTGAAATTTTGAAGTAGTAAGACTGAAATAGTATTTTCTTGTGAAACATACTCTAATGATCTTTGCTTTATTTACAACTTAGAAAAAAACATTTTTTACAATGTTTTTTTACTCCATTTTTACTAATTGTCCGTTGTTCCCAAAGATTTGCTGTGTTTTTGTTTGCCGCAGATTTACTAAAGGTTTCAGGGCTGGAGAGCATCTTTTGTTAGAAGTTGAGGTTAAGTTGTTGGATTCAGTGTGATGATTGTTAGTTTGGTGGTTTTGATTTCGTCAGAAACGAGAGAAGCGGAAGCATGAGAAGATCCTAAGTGAGGAGTTTTACCCCGCCATCATCAACCTGAACCAGTTCCTCCCGCCGGAGCACGGTATCGAGTACATCGCTTGGGACATGGCACGATACACCAAGAGGTGCGGAAAACTAATGTAAAGTGACTTTTATATGAACTGACATAATATTCATGGGTTTGGAGTCAGTGAGATCACATAAGAAGTCTCTTCTGCTCACCAGGGCTGCATATATGTGTTCAGAAATACATTAAAAATTGTGAAATATTTTTCCAACTTAAAATAAAAGTTGTCTATGTGAATATCTGTTAAACAGTAATTTATTTCTGTGATGCGCAGCTGTATTTTCAGCATCATTACTCCAGTCTTCAGTGTCACATGATCTTCAGAAATCATTCTAATATGCTGATT